TCTCCCTTGTTGATACCTCTTCTTAGCTTCCGTATCCTCTCAAGTTGAATAATCCTTTTACATCAATAACGAATTAATAAATGGTCAAGGAATCAGCAGTTATGAGTGATGCCAAATCAAATTATGTTATAGTCTCAGGAAAAGAAACTATTAAACTTGCAAGGTCAGAGTGCCTATCACCTCATTTATTATCTTCCTCTTATAAGCCTCCAGCTCTGGGGACAGAAGCTGAAAGGCTGAGATGCCTATCTATACGGGCTACCTAAAAAATTGTGAGGCAGTGAAACATCTTGATTAAAGTCACTTTATCAGGTGTTGAGGGGCTGAATATGCCTGTGGGGCCAGTGCCATGCTTCTGTCCACTCCCTCAGCTTCACAGGCACCACGCAAGAGAAAAAGGATTCCTTATTAGACAGTGTGCCTGGCTAACAGAGAAGACATAACATTCTGCTGGCTGGAGCTCCTTAGTCCCATTCTGTCACCCTCACTCCTGCCCCAGCCAGGGAAGTGTTAAATGTCACACCACTGTCCCAATCAGGACTGAGGAGCTCTCAGTTCCTTTAGCTAAACTTTGTGTTTTTATACCCTCTAAAATAATTTAGAAAATACTTTGTGCCTCCTTGCCTATTATTAACTCCTAAAATTATATATTAAGTTTAGAAAGACTAAAAGAATAAGATTTCTGACATATTATGTAGTATGAGCTTTATATATGTTTTTGTCAAAACTGCAGATTTAGTTTATTAAATTTACAGGCAAGATTCATTACACAATCTTAATTGGCAAAGATGGTTTTTATGGTCAAACTACAAACTCAGTCTTGCTTTCTGTCAGATCCAAGTCTGATTTTATTTTTTAATTTCAAATGAACATTGGCACATACCTCATGGCAACCATCTCACTTCTAAACCTGAATTCTTAGATCTATGAACAGGCAGCTAAGGTCATACAACCTTGTGAAGAGTTTATATCCTGGATGAATTAAAGGATTATCTCTTCTACTGTTTCTTGCTCTGCTCCCATAGGACTTAGAAGCAAGGCATTTTGAAGTTGTCCCATGGTAAGATTCAGGAGGGTAAGAGGTACGTATTTCTTTTCTGAAGTGGAAGTAGGATGGTTGTAAAAGTGAGAGTGACTGAAGATTTCAGCCATGTTCTTGGAAGGGTCGGGTTTAAGAAAGGGCATCTGTGGAAGTTTAGGATCTGGACATTTATTTCCTTAAAATGACCTATGCCCTAATATCCCCTGGGAAGCCATTATATACCACAAAAGTATGTGTACCCTCGTTTTAAAACCACTGCTTTTAGATGCATCAGCACTCTCAAACCAGACCAGTCTGTGACTGAGGCCAGTTAACTAGGCTTCACTCAAAATTCATCCTCACCAGTGTTCGGTAGGGGCTGACTTTCCCTGAGACCTGTCAAGTAGAAGGATCAGAACCATGGAACTCAGCCTTTCTTCAATACCCATATTTCATTAGGTCTGAAGCTGCCATTTAAAAAAAAAAGAAAAGAAAAACTCTCCAGGCAAGCAAAGGGATTCGTTGCTTTCCAGAAATTTAAGGGCATTTGGGATAGAACATACTTGTTCTAGAACATAATGTTTCAGATGCCAAAACTAGGAACATTGAAGGAAAGTTAGGAGGGGGCAGGTGTTGATTCAGGACAAGAAGGAAGGTAGTAGAGGATGGGTGGGAAGGGAGGGTTAAGGGGGGAGAAAAAGAAAGGGGGCACTACAAACAGCATTCATAATGTTGGGGGGGCACGGGGAAGGCTGTACAGCACGGAGAGAACAGGTAGTGATTCTACAGCATCTTATTAAGCTGATGGATAGTGACTGCACTGGGGTATGTGGGGGGAACTTGGTGATGGAGGGAGTCTAGTAAACATAATGTTCCTCATGTAATTGTAGATTAATGATACCAACATAAATAAAAAATAAAATAAAAAGAAGGAAGATAGGTTGAGGAAGGGAGCCAACTTTTGTAATCATATATATTGCATAAAATAATAAAACTTTCACAGTAACCCTGTAAGATAAATAGAATTACCATGAGGAAACTGAGACTCGGGCTGAGTAGCTTACCCAAGGTCCCATAGCTCATTAGTACCAGGTAACTACAGACTGGTGACTTCAAGCCATTGTATAATGCTGCCTCTCTCATTGGTAAACACCTACTACATTATGTCTGCCTGTCTAACACCTTTAGTTCATTCTCAAAACAGCAACAAAAATCAGAAAGACATTACAAAGAATTTCAATACCCTCTGAATATTACTCCAGTTACAAATCTCAGCATGACTGGTAGATGTTTCAGAGGATGGAGTGGCTGAGGCTAAAAGCTGTGTTACTTCCCTTGAAGAAAGTAAAGATTTTTATAGATTATTTATGGTAAAACTTTATGAACACAGAATAGCTTCTATACAAACTGAAGCAGCATTCAGATGATACCTCATCCTTAATTATATTGTGTAGCCCTCCAGGAGAGACCACACACAAGACAAATCTATATTATAGATTCAGTTAAGGTGTTTTTTTCTTTCTTATTGTAAAAAACAGGTTATTAACTAATTATGGAAGTGAATACACTTTGACAGTTCTATTCTGGGAAAAATCTTTTTCCCCATCTCTCTCCTTCTCTTCCCTCCTTCTTTCTGTCTTCCTTCCCCCTACTAAGATAGAAAGTCTATGAAGACATCTACTATGCCCATCTCTTTCATTGTTGTGCTTAGCATCATGTCTAACACATAGTAGACAGTCAATAAATATTTAACAAATGAAAAAAAATCAATGAATGATATGCCAGAATCCCAGGGTCTCCTGCTTTTAAACTATGAGGTGAGCTGTATCTTCCAGGCCCAAGAACAGATCTCTCTTAGGGTAATGAGAAACAGTTTTATCAGTCATGGCTTCTAATCTTTTCCCTAAGCCAGCTCTGCAAGTCATAAAAAACATAGTGACTCAAAAAGAATGTTAATTTACTTATAATTGTACTCAATTTTTGGGAGAGGGGTTGCTGACTGCTTTATGAATATGATGAAAATTCTGGCCTGTCTCAGACAAAGAAACACACAGGCAAAATTTTATATACAATTTCAGTCAGTTCATGAACCCTTTGAACTATGTATCTCAAGCTAAGAATGCCAAACATAAACAATGATCTGCAGCTTAAGGAAAGGGCACAGTCACCATGCTAGACCTCTCATTTTTGAAGGAACATTAACAAGAGAACAAACAGTAAGGGCTGGCTTTGTATATAATACCAAAGGGGAGAACATGGCACCAGTTCCAAATGTGTCTTGATTCTGGTGATATGCTTTCATAAAAGACATTTTGTTCCCTTTGGGACAGAGGCCACCAAACACTGCTCCTTAATGACAGTCCACTGTCTAGCTCTTAGTAGCATGCACCCTTCATCCCATGACTGGACACCAGGCAGGAAAAGGACTGGAAACAGGGCAGCGTTTTGGATAGAGAAGGTTGCTGAGTTGGCTCTTTGGGCTCCTAAAGTACACTTACACTACTTTCAGGCTCTGTCTTGAAATGTTTCTGCCCTGAGCAGAAGTACTGCAAGTCTTGCCTAGGTATTTTCTCTTAAAATCTTTCCCAAATGGATGCAAAAATGCGCAGATTTTATATAGATACACAGATTTTTTATATATAATTAATCCCTTGCAAGATAAAAAATTTCTAGGTCACAGCTGGGAATTGATGCACGCCAGGCCTTCCTCTTCCTTATTGCTTGTCTCTACGTGAGGAAGATCTTATCCCCGTTTCCAAGCACCCCAGTTTGACTACTTGAGACTTGGTCTAGCCAAGACTTAATTCTTAAGTTTTAAGGACACAGACCTTACTAAATGTGGAGGATTTTATATCTCTCAGGGCTTCCCTTTCTTCCTTTGCAAAGTGGGGATGATAATAATAGTTCCTGTATCCTACGATTGTTGTAAGGCATAGTAGACAGGAGGATTGCTAGCATTGTCCTTCTAGTGTGCCCGCTCCTGCACCATCTTTCTCTGGGCACGCCTTTTTCTTGTTTCAGTGTCTGCATCAACAGTGTTCTCTCAGGGCCGCACCAAGGGCGCTCCAACCCTGAGCATCTGAGGTCCTACCTGTGCCTCTGAGACTCAAAACTCATTTTTTGGCCACTGAAATATCATTGAAATCTTGGATACTCTGGTCAGAGCAGTAATGACTGACTATTTCTTTTAACTCCCTCCCTGTTTCTATTTCTCACTCTCTTTTTAAAAACAACTACTTATTTAACACTTCCACGTGCCTAGCACAACACTAGTACTAGGTAAGCACTAGTTAAAAAAATAGTATTACACTCTTTTATGTTATAATCGAGGTTAGAGGAGAGAGTAAATAGCAAACAGATAATTTATAGGATGTGTTAAGGGCTATGAAAAAAACATATGGAGAATATCCAAGGAGTCCTACTTAGATAGAGTACCTTCTCTGAAGAAGTGACATTTGAATCCAGTGACTGTCCCTATGGCATGAATTGAAATTTTGGCTTTATTCCAAATGAGAAGTGCCACAGAGAGTACAGAATTATAGGTTCTCTTTATCTATCCTGACAATAGATGGCTTAAGGCTTAGGGCAAGTCAAACTCCTGATTTTTACCAGCAATTTATTTTGTCAAGTAAATTAAAAAAATTATGACCCTTAAAAGCAAAAAATTATGACCCTCACTTTATCCTTTAAATAGCTATTCGCTTACTGTGTACGAGGCATTGTGCATTTTACACATATTATTTAATCCTCCAATAATGCAAGAAAGTAAGTTTTATTATCATCATTATCCCTGTAATCAAATAAAGAAATCAGAACTTACAGAGGCTAAGTAATCGCCCATTTCCACAGTGCCTACCAGTGGTAGGGTCAGGACTAGAATCCAGGTATGCCTGACAACGTAGCCCATGCCTCAACCAGTGAACTAGGCTGTCTCCCTTCTGTGATATCTTAACTAACCTGCTCCTCCTTTCTTTTGTAGTGGTGCCAGTGAAGAAGAGGACACATGAAGGCTTGCCACCCAGTGGAAAATCATCCTCCCCTTGTGTGTATGTGAGAGTGTGTATGTAATGGCTTCTGATTTCTGTGAAAGCTGCCCAGCAACAAACGTGCTTCTACCAGATACGTCCCCAAATCCACTGCAGGCACATACCTTTCCAAGGGATGACCAGTTTTATTGTTTCCTCACTATGTGCTTCTCATTCTCCTGTCATGGTATTTCAAGGAAAGTGCCCCTTTCATCAGCCAGGAGGAATTAAGAGGGGTCCTTCAGGTGCTCCCTCTGTGACTGCTTTGAACTTAGGGAAGCCAGCCCCTAAACATTACCACTTCATTAGGAAGGATCTGGAATAATCTTGAAGAGCAGTCACAGTTTTTTTCCCTACCTGCTAAGAAAACCCCACTTTATACATATTGAAGAATGAAGTAAATGAAGGCAAAGTAGGGCCGAATCAAAGTAGGGTCTTTAAAAGTCTGATTATACATTTGTGAAAATGTGGTTTTGTGAAGTAAGATGGATGGTTTGAAAATGGGGTAGGAGAAAGAGTTAAAAGAAATATATAGAGATATTTTTAGTACATGAGGTTATCCAGGCCTTCCGATTCATAATTCAGTGCTGTGGAAATGAAAAAAGTGATTGAAGAGGTAAAAAGGAAATGACTTTTTAGAAAAAAAAAAGGACCAAAGAGATCTGATTAAAAGTTGAAATCAGTATTTTTGAACTCAAATTGTCTGCGTTTCCAAAATAGTCACTAAAGAATCTGATGGAACTTGAATTATGTGGGTGAATTCTGCAGGTTTTGTGGGTCTTGTCACAACATGAAAGGCTGGAATGTATATTACCAAATGGGAATTTTCAGTGTCGGTTTTTGCTACCCCCTGCCTCCAGTTAGCCTGATTTGGTTTAAATGCAGTGTTGGGAGAACTCTTGTCATGCTGTGGTATGAGGAACCAAGCTCCGTCTCCTAGTAGGTATACCCTCCTTCTACTCCTGCTGGGACCCCTCTTCCCATGGCACTCCCCACCCACAGACCTTCAGATCATCTCCCACACCCTGCTTCTCTCCTTGCAAGTAGAGAGACATGCCATGTTTGGATTTCTGGCTTCTCCATTCCCAAATCAAATTTTCTTACAGCCAGGTTTTTTACTCCCAAGTAAGCAGTGATGTACTAGGGGAATACAAAAACTTGAAGCTAAAAAACCTGCATCTTCTTAAACATCAGTTTTAACAAGTGGTTTGGAAGCTGGGGAATAACTTTATATTTTAGATAAAACAATTATACTATGAAATAGAATGTTCATATACATAAATAGTTAAGATAAAACTTCACAGAGAATTCTTACTTGCAAGTGGGTATGTGTTCCCTCTCCACTGCCTTTAGTGGTATTGTGTTCACTTTTGCGAAGTACAATTGAAACTATAATATCCAGGCAACCTTGCGATGCCGCTCACTCAGGGTCTAGGCTTCTAGTGTCTCTGAGGCAGAACGCAAGGAGCCCGCACTGGGAGAAAGCCCTCTCCTCCCGCCTGCCTGTGTACCTACCACAAAATGTTTGGGCCAGCTGATTTGTGTGTATGCAGGATGGTTTTGAGGCAGAAACAATACTTACTATAGGAATCTGTTTATATCATTGTTCAATCCTGTGCATGCTATGAAGTCATTATTTCTTTGAAGCCAGGACATACATACTTCTGGCTTAGGATTACCATAGCTCACTAAATATATCAGGATGTTAGAGCTAAGAGTAGTTTGGAGTGCTAAAAAAATGTATTTTTTTTTCTTTCAAACTGGTTGCCAACAAATGGCCAAGACAATTTCAATGCTTAACCTATCTGCCCATAAAGATGGAGGAATTTGGCATACCACTAAATATAACCCCAAACTATATCCAACAAGACTACTTTTAAATAAGGACCAATGGCCACTCTTACAAGAGTTTAAAAATTAGAAGATTAAGAAGACTTTAGGATTTGGAAGTTTGTATTGTCTTCCCCCAGTAATTATTGTTTCATCTCCAAATAGTAGTCTTTTCTTAGCAATGGACAGATTCACTGGCTCCTCCATACCTGATACTGTGTTATTACTTTATATCAGTATTTGGGAAACCCAAGCATTTATGCAGTGGATCTAAACAGAAATATGAAAATTCCTGCCAGTCTCTTAATACACTACCATAACACTGTAATCCTAAAGAGAAGCTCTTTTGCTTTTACTTAGGATTTCAGATTTGCCTTATGGACTCCTGCTATATTCAGCACCTGATAAAACTTTAACCAGGGAAGCATTAAACACAACGCAGCAGGTTCTGCCTAGGCCCTGAATTCCTGCCAGCAGCATTTATCAATGTAAGAACTAGGATGCTTGCTGCAGTGGCACCGGCTTCCTCCAAAGCTGGAGCTGCTCGGCCTTAAGCCCCAGCATGACGAGGCTTCTCTCCTCCCAGGTCAGTGCAAGCTAGTGTGTTCAGAATTGTGTCCTACTGGCTGCAGAGTATGTAGAAATTCCAAGGAAGAAGTCATTAAGGAGGCAGTTAATGGATGTCTACAGAATGAATTGGGTTCTCATAGCAATACCTCTCAAGTGTTGGCTATCTGGAAGCTGAGAGGGGTTTTTACTTTGGTTTGATGTCATTAAATCCAAGGCAATTGCAAGAAGTGCTTGGAGTTTCAGTCCTGACATCCCAGGAGGGGAAATGACCTATATTGAGGACCAACTATGAGCCACTCTCTGTACTAGGCCCTCATTTCTCAGATGTTAAAACATATTTGGAATAGAAGAGTCACTTGCCTACAGTTAAACAGTTAGGAAATACTGGAGCCAGATTTTGAACCCAGCTGTCCCTAACTTTATAACCCGTGGTACACCTAAAATACCAAGGGAGAAGGAGAAAGACGTTTTCATGTTCCCCTACTGCAGGCAGATTATCCCACTTTATGAATTCTTTTTCAAAATTACATTTTGTGGCTGTAGTTTGGGCTAAGAAATGGTGTCAAGTTAGTCTTATTCTTCAGACTTAATGCAGATGCGGATGCATTAAGTACACATTGCTGACTTGAGCCTGCCCCCAGGATTTTGGGAAGTCTTTCCTTTTTGGTGCCATCCCCCACAAAGTGTTTCTAGGCCTTTAAGAATATTGAACTTCTCAGAAATAGTAAAAGTGAAGGGTGTTCTGCTCTCTAACTTTGTTTGAAAATGCTGCTGCACTGCTGCAGAAAAGGAAATCTTCATGTTTGTGTAAATCCAGGTGCTTTGAGGGTGTGGTAATACAGAGTCCAGTGAATCTAGACTTTGCTGCTGATACCTGATATACACACACACACACACACACACACACACACAATTTAAGAACTAAGGGAAACTCAAAGTAACCCCCTCGTTATCTTGCATCCCACTGCAAAAACTGCAAAGGTTCCTGCCAGCCATGATTACAAGTGTCAGCAGATAATTGGAGCTTAGTGCTTGCTTGCAAGATGTTTACAAGAAGGGCAGCTCCTTAGCAAAGGTTGTCGGCTCCTAAAGCATTGAGCCAAGGTGACAACCCTGAAAGAAACAGCACTCCAGCCCTTCTCCACGATGTCTAATGATAGGGAAAACTGGGATACCCAGCCATCTTGGTGACCTGAAAGTCTGACCCCTCGAGGCAGGCACGAGGGCACAGCTGTAAAATTCACAGCTTGTAGCAGTGGCAGGGTGGGCCTAGGAAGTCCTCTTGTGGACCTCAGAAATATTCTTTTGCCAATACCTGAAAGTTCACATTCACATAATAGCTGTTTGATTTTGATACATACTATTTCATAAGAAAATCAGTTGCATGTTTACTGTGTGCCTAGTACATCTGGAATTTTCTGTTTAAAATTCAAATCTCATTATGAACAGAGTCCAGCCTGAAGAAAAAAAGAAGGCCCATAGGGAAGACCTCAGTTCTCATTAATATTGCTTTTACCGAGCAGTGTTTCTGAAGCCCTCCGCCCCCAACCAATTCCAAGAGCCATAGGCCCAGGTAGCTGCTGTCCCATGGGGGCCTCCTGGTAAAACAGTGGCATTTGGAGCAGAGGACACACCAGAGGCAGCAGAACAAGTGCCAGAGTAGGAAAATGAAAATAAATGGAGACACTTATGGGTATACTGGTACAGAAAATGCTGCAGAGCCCATCTGGGCTTGATATAACCTTGAGGGGACAGTGGATTTGTACTTAACTAGAGTTCAACCTGACCAGTCTTTCTATAGTGACAGACCACAGTGCATGGATGGGAAGAACCAGTGAATCCATTGTCTCTTCCCTATTTTCCTGTGCACAGATACATTCCCTCCTTAGTCATCTTCCCCCTTCACCCTGTACGTTAAACAAGGGAGCCCTCAATCTTTCAAGGGAATTATACATTTGGAGTTAATGCTTCAGTATATCATTTTCATACTATAAATTATTTTGTAAGAGAGATTTATTGCTATCCCAGGATGTTTGGACTCAGTGCCCCTGTGCATTTGGAAATCAATAAACTAATACTGGAAGTACCATTTTGTCTCTCAGAGTTGTGCACAAAGGACCCTGCTGGGTGTAGATATTCATGATGGTCTGCATTCTTAACTGCGGTAATGCTGGAGATGATGTGTTTTGGCTATTAGATGTGGGGGTCTCATTTACTCGTCATGTCTCTAGAGTGGCTTAGGAGATCCTTGGGGAAGTGACAGAAGGACAGACTTAAAGTCATTATTATTTAGAGATACTTCTTTTCCTCAGAGTAAGATGGTCCAAGCCGAGGTTAAGTTTCCTGAGTAAAGGAGATTATAACCTAAAACATCCTGAATGATGTTTTCAAGTAACTTTAAAGCGTTCAATTTGAGTTAACTAGAGGGAACATAATGTTTTAATTTTTACATTTTCTAGAAAAAATATCTTTGTAGAGCAAACTATAGTTAGGCCAGCAAAGTCATCTTTATGGAACCTTAGAAGTACATAGTTGATAAAACTGATGAAGAGAGAGAATTAGATTGTAAATGAAACAATTCCAGTCCAGTTTGTAACTGGTTGCATTGAAACCAGAGGCAAAATGTGAAAACCCAAGATAGTGGATACCATATGAATTAGAAAGTGCAAGCTCTGCCTAAAGGCATTAAAATTGAGTTTTTAAAAATCCATCCTAAAACCCACCACCAGGTGTGTCCATAGGAGCTGGAGTTTATGAACCCTGCTCTAAATTTCCTTTAAACAAATTTATCTTTATTAGACCCCTGGAGTTAGTTGGGGACTGTGTGATCTTTAGAGGAATTGTCCAAGACAGGGAGATGAGTCCGTCACTCAGGGTCACCTAGTGAGCCACGCAGGAGAAGCTAGGACAGCAGACTCTCTGTCTCCTGCAGCAATCATTAGGCCCCACTTCCTCCCTCCTTGTTTGCTGAGGATACTTCTGCCTGTGGGATGGACTGCCAAGCACTGTAGCACTTGGGAGTCTCACTGTCTTAACAAACCACAGTGTGTTTGGAGGTTTTCTTCCCTACTTCCTGGTGCCAGTATCTCAACACCACATCCCATTGCCGGAGCCCTTTCTCATTTTATTGTCTTTCCTTTTGAAAGCTACAACTCTTTATTTTATTTCATTGATCTTTGCTTGGTCTGACTTATAAGTGGCCCAATTTCCTTTACACTCATAAAAGGGTGAAATTGCAGCTTGTCTGGAATATATCCTGGCTTTAACAAGGCATCCGAGGTAAATACACCCAACAGAAAGTTGGGCTGCCAGTCTCATTAAGAGAAGATGTCGCAAACAGCAGCAGACTCTCAGACTCCAAGAAGGGACTAGCGGTTACCAAAGGGAAGAGGTTGGGGAGGCTGTGGGGAGGGACAGTGAAGGGGATTAAGGGGCACTATAATTTGCAATCACAATATAGGTAGGTCATGGGGAAAGCAGTACAGCATGGAGAAGACAAGTAATGACTCTGTAGCATCTTACTACACTGATAGACAGTGACTGCAATAGAGGGATGAGGACTTGATAATATGGGTGAATGTTGAAACCACAATATTGTTCATGTGAAACCTTCGTAAGATTGTATATCAATGATACTTTAATTAAAAAAGAGAGAGAGAAGAAAGATATCACATACAAAAAGAGAAAACATAAAAGACTGCTTGAAAATTGGCTATGCTGAGTAACTGTACTTATTAAAATATTGTAGTCTCCAGGTCTGAGTCATGAACTTGTGTTAATAATAATAATAGCTCACCATTTGGTGAGCTCCTACCCTGGTCTGGGCACTGTCCTAGTTGCTTTTCAAATTGCATTATTTATTTCTCATAGCCCTGATATTAACATCTCCTGTTTTCATAATTCTTATTTTTCTATATTCCTAAATCAGGAATCAGATTTAGACACTTAACTACTGTGCCCAAGTCACACCCTCATAAACAGGAAGCCAGGATTTTAGCCTAGGTTTAGCCGACTTCACAACCCCTGCTTTTAATCTCTTCTTTCCTAGCTGTACTGACTCCACCTTGTATTGTTGAATAACATGACTGTCCTCTCCCATACACATATATTGGATAGCCTTTGAGCAAAAGGAATCTGCCCCCTTTTAGACCTTGCTTTGTATAGTCTGCAAAGGACAGTGAACAGTGAGGGAAGGCAGGGTAATGAAAGCAGTGAAGGCCTCTTCTGACCTGGAACTGAACTTTTGGAAGGAGGGAACTATTAGGCTTTCTTTATCTCCTTTATTCCAAGGCCCAAAATAATGTAATCCCAGAAGAGACAAAGCCATGGCATCTTTTTATTTTATATCATTAATATAAAATCACATGAGCAACATTGTGGTTACTAGGTTTCCCCCATTATCAAGTCCCTACCACATATCCCATTATAGTCACTGTCCATCAGCATAGTAAGATGCTATAGAGTCACTACTTGTCTTCCCTGTGCTATACTGTCTTCCCCATAGCCTTCCCTACGTTATGTGTGCTAATCGTAATGCCCCTTACTCCCCGTCCTCATCCCTTCCTACCCACCCTCCCCAGTCCCTTTCCCTTTGGCAACTGTTAGTTCATTCTTGGGTTCTGTGAGTCTTCTGCTATTTTGTTCCTTCAGTTTTTGCTTTGTTCTTATGCTCCACAGATGAGTGAAATCATTTGATACTTGTCTTTCTCCACCTGGCTTATTTCACTGAGCATAATACCCTATAGCTCCATCCATGTTGTTGCAAATTGTAGGATTTATTTTCTTCTTATGGCTGAATAATATTCCATTGTGTATGTACCACATCTTCTTTATCCATTCATTTACTGATGGTCACTTAGGTTGCTTCCATATCTTGGCTATTGTAAATAGTGCTGTGATAAACATAGGGGTGCATGTGTCTTTTTGAAACTGAGCTCCTGCATTCTTAGGATAAATTCCTAGGTGTGGAATTCCTGGGTCAAATGGTATTTCTATTTTGAGTTTTTTGAGGAACCTCCATATTGCTTTCCACAATGGTTGAACTAGTTTACATTCCTACCAGCAGTGTAGGAGGGTTCCCCTTTCTCCACATCCTCACCAGCATTTGTTGTTCCTAGTCTTTTCTATGTTGGCCATCCTAACTGGCATGAGGTGATACCTCATTGTGGTTTAAATTTGCATTTCCCTGATAATTAGTGATGTGGAGCAGCTTTTCATGTGCCTGTTGGCCAACTGAATTTCTTCTTTGAAGAAGTGTCTGTTCATATCCTCTGCCCATTTTTTAATAGGGTTATTTGCTTTTTGGTTGTTGAGTCGTGTGAGTGCTTTATGTATTTTGGATGTTAACCCCTTGTCAGATATGTCATTTACAAATGTATTCTCCCATACTGTAGGATGCCTTTTTGTTCTGCTGATGGTATCCTTTGCTCTACAGAAGCTTTTCAGCATGATGTAGTCCCATTTGTTCTTTTTCATTTTGTTTCCCTTGCGCAAGGAGATGCATTCAGGAAAAAGTTGCTCATGTTTATATTCAAGAGATTTTTGCCTATGTTTTTTTCTAAGAGTTTTATGGTTTCACAGCTTACATTCAGGTCTTTGATCTATTTTGAGTTTACTTTTGTGTATGGGTCAGACAATAATCCAGTTTCATTCTCTTGCATGTAGCTGTCCAGTTTTGCCAACACCAGCTGTTGAAGAGGCTGTCATTTCCCCATTGTATATCCTCCTTTATCATATATTAATTGACCATATATGCTTGGGTTTATATCTGGGCTCTCTAGTCTGTTCCATTGGTCTATGGGTCTGTTCTGGTACCACTACCAAATTGTCTTGATTACTGTGGCTTTGTAGTAGAGCTTGAAGTAAAGGAGTGTAATCCCCCCACTTTATTCTTCCTTCTCAGGATTGCTTTGGCTATTCTGGATCATTTGTGGTTCCATACGAATTTTAGAACGATTTTCTCTAGTTCACTGAAGAATGCAGTTGGTATTTTGATAGGGATTGCATTGAATCTGTAGATTGCTTTCGGCAGGATGGCTATTTTGTCAGTATTAATTCTTCATATCCATGAGCATGGGATGTGTTTCCATTTATTAGTATCTTCTTTAATTTCTCTCATGAGTGTCTTATAGTTTTCAGAGTATAGGTCTTTTACTTCCTTGGTTAAGTTTATTCTTAGGTGTTTAGCTATGGCATCTTTTCCGTAGTCTTCAAATCCTGAAAGTGAGTCAACTCTGACACTAAATCTGTCATTTAATTTAACCAATCTGAAGGTGTCTCCCACAGCTCAACTTTAGGCCAGCTTCATAGTCTTGGAAAGGGACTGCAAAAGGAGCTTGTCTACTTTATAGCTCATTTACTGAGTTTAGCCATCATGGCCACAGCAACCATTTGCTTCATAAAAATGGCCCATAACCTTCACATCATTTTAAAGAATCAGTAGTAGCTCATTTACCTGGGTTAACCACCTGTAGGCTTCACCTAGAACTGGAAAAATGTGGATCCTCTGCTGGACCCATTGAAAAATGACTGAAAACTAGAAGTAAGCAAACAAGCCTTCTTGAAATAAACATTCTGAGGCAAACATGTAAGAGAAAGGCCATATATCTACCCATCAAGCACCTACTCAGAACCTGTTTATTCCTGCTTGACACATAATTCTAAATGTTTAATGTTTGGTTTCCAAGGGTGCAGCAGATTAAATTTACAAGTGAGAAACAGACTTCTAGAGGAAACTTAGGTCAAGGGGAAAATAAGATGACAGCAATAGAGAAGACATTTTAAGTAGAGTGAAGAGCTTAAAAAGCACACCTTTTCAGGAGGTCAAATAGTGCCCTGAACAGCTCTCTGCACATCTCAATACCTAAAAGCCTCTGTGGTATAGGATAGTGTTATTAAATTCAGTAAGATGGCCCTGAGCATCCCATCTAACGAAACTAAATTATGCTCGGAAGAAAGCAAGGATTTGCATAGCATAGCAAACATTTCAGAAATGTTTATACCACAAATGGTGAAAAGCAAAGCAAACCAAAACAAACACCTTTTAGGGGTTAAAGGCAACAAACTTTTGATTATCCAGAACATTTAG